GTATGTTCTTTCTCTCCAAGGGCTTCGAATGCCGCTTGTTTTATACTCGCCTTTATATGCTCGTATATTTCTTCGATGTTGCCGTATCTGAATTCTATTAATTTTTGGTCTAGACGTTGTTTGTCCCGCACATACTGAAAGTATAAAATCAGCTAAATAGGGTAAGACCGGTCGTCACTAGACATTGAGGAGTAGGTCGATTGAGACCTCAGCCTCAGTGCCGTTAGACGGTTCTCATATTTCTGAAGAACGAGATACTGGTACGTCAAGGCCATTCGTACGTAAGGTACGTGAGGCGAGTAGGCAAATTTAGAACCCAAACTCGAACAGAACCATATCCCTCTTGATAATGGCTCCAAAATGTCAAGCTTTAAATTCTCAACGCGGTTTTTCCCGAAAACTTAGTAATTTTCCTATAAAACAATTTTTCACCAAAACAATTCAATATTTTTTAAAAATCTGCCATCGAATTTGTTGTCTACTTGACATTTTGTCAACGTATCAATAAATTTCTTTATCAATGGTCTATTTATGATGGTAGACGATATCGTAATGACATAATTACACAATACCATATACAAAGGCTGATAGAAATATATTTTTGTGTCACCTCTGAGTGGGGTCTTATGCTTTAGCTAAGTCCATAATCATAATTCTCTTTTCACCTCCGAACCGTCAAATTATCACTAGTAATATCCCTAGGACATTGATAACAGACGAGATAATTTCATGAAAATCGAAATCTCGTCCCTTGGTAACAGCACGAAGCCAAGGGCTGAGTGCTGTTACCAAGCAACGAGCTTGAGAAATTTGTCATGAAATTATGAGGCATTCATCAATGTCCGAGGGATATTCGGCGGATAATTTTTCGAAAAAAGAAATAATAACGAAACATTTATTTATTAAAAGTACAATTAGTGAAAGTACAATTATTAAAATTTAAGTTAACATTAGATTCGTTGCTGTTCTCTACTATAGAAGATCTATAGTAAATTCCATGAATATTCCCCAAATATATTTGTGACTGTAGGTTGTATTTCTGGGAATTTTTCTTTGATTAGCGCATTTATACTTTGAACATTCTCATTGCCGAAACGTGACATTTTGAAATTTATTTGGATGAAGTTGTCAAACTCGATCGTGTTGTCATAGGGATTGAAAATTGCACTGAATGCAATTATCAGTCTAATGTTGACATGATTGGGTGAAATTGTTCCACATGACACAAAATGACGAAATTTGAATGGTTGTTAGAACAGTCGAAAAATTATCAGTAGTAATATCCCTAGGACATTGATAACAGACGAGATAATTTCATGACAATCGAAAGCTCGTTCCTTGGTTCCATCGTTTCTATCGATGAGGATATTCTCGGTGCCAGTAAACAGTTCCAGAAATTACGTTGATTATAAATAAGCCGCTGAGGCGACCTTTGCAGATTCGTATTAGCGAATTGTTTTGTAAGCGATATCAATATGAATTATTGTAAGCGATAATTATTAATGTAATTAGAATTTGTGATATTTGTAATTTGGTGAGTTTTTTGGAGATAAAATAAAGTTAGGTAAACCAAATTTGCTTCAATTAATCTGTGAATCGAGAGAAAAACGCCATAATATAGTAAATAGGGATAAAATAAGAAACAATAAATTAGGGAGTTTGGTTAGATATAACAATTTAAATAGTTTAATTTAAAAATCGTTTATAAAAGAAATATAAATTAATTATATACATTTTATAAAGAATTTTAAATAAAACTTTTGTGATTCATGGTAGGGGAACTTGGGTCACAGTGAACCATGTTACACAGTGAACCAGCAGCCCCCACTCTTTGCCTATGCACTTTATCGCCCAACTCTATTCTTCAAATATCTGCTGGTTTTACGCGACACCTTACTACTTTAGTTCGCATCAAGCTAACATAGTGTGTAGATGTTTATTTCGATATCTGCTGAACGGTAAGTCGAATGCTTTTTTTCACATTGTTGTATTTATTTGTTTTGTTCCAAGCCTGGCGGTAAATTCAGATCAATTATAGTTCCAAGCTACTTAATAGGTCTTTGTACATACTGTTTATCTTGTCTTTCAAATCAATGTAGTTTATTTTTGTTTAAATAAATTTTTTAGTTAAATAGGTGGCGGTGGGTAACAGCGAACCATTGACGAATGGGTTACACTGAACCTGGTTCACTGTAACCCATAATGGTTTACTGTGCAAATGTTATACAAGGCCGGTTGTTCGAACGCTAATCAACAATGATTATTATCAAATATTTAATTACTGTCACCAACTGTCAATGTCAACTTTAATTGGGTTGCTGAAAACATAATAAATTGAGTACAATTATGAGATTAGTGAATCAATTAACATAACAATTATTAACATAATTGATTAACTAATTTCATAATGGTAATCGATTATGTTTTCAGCAACCCAATAAAAATTGACATTGACAGTTGGTGACAGTAATTAAATATTTGGTAATGATCATTTTTGAATAGCGTTCGAACAACCGGCCCTTAGAATGTATGCATTTAATTTCATTAATCATAATTTGGTTTATGATTACGTTTATTTATTGTTTCAGATTCAAAATGCCACGCAACCGAGTTAGAAAAACAAACATTGGCATGCACAGTGAAGAGCAGATGCGAAGTGCTTTAGACCTCATATCGAGAGAAAATCAAAGCATAAGAAGTGTGGCAAAACTTAAAGGGATTCCTTATCCGACTGTTAGAAGATATTGGCAAAAATTTAAAAATACAGATGAACCAATACGGCTAACTCCTAATTATGAAGTGAATAAAATTTTCACAGCCATCCAGGAAGAAGCACTGGCCAATTATATTGTAAAATGTAGCCAAATGTTTTACGGGTTAACACTGCTGGAATGTCGCCAGCTGGCCTACGAAATGGCAATAGTCAACAACGTCAAAATTCCTGAAAAATGGAATGATCGAAAGCTTGCTGGCATGGAATGGCTATACAATTTTAGAAAGCGACATCCCCGGTTAAGCCTTAGGACACCTGAAGGATGTAGCCTGTCCCGAGCTACGTCATTTAACCGACATAATGTGAACATATTTTATGATAAGTTACAAGAAGTTATGTTACGTAAGCCCGAATTTGCTGATGGGACTAGGATATATAATCTTGACGAAACTAGTTCCCTGACCGTGCAAAAATCTCAAAAGGTGCTCGCAGCGAAAGGACAAAAACAGGTCAGCAAAGTCACTAGTGGTGAAAAGGGAACATTAGTAACAACCTGTTGTATCGTCAATGCTTCCGGCAATTTTTTACCACCAGTCATGATTTTTCCTCGTGTCCATTTTAAGCATCACATGACAAATGGGGCTCCCACCGGAACGTTAGGATTGGCGACACAGTCTGGGTGGATGAATAGCACACTATTTGTAGACACGATGGAACACTTTATTAAATTCTCAAACACTAGCAAAGAAAACCCCAGCTTACTGATAATGGACAACTTTGAAGCTCATATTTGCATAAAAGCCATTGAATTGGCAAAGGAAAATGGTGTGACAATATTAACAGTTCCGCCTCATTCTACCGGAAAGATGCAACCCTTAGACGTTTGCCTTTATAAACCTTTCAAAACTGCTTACAATGCAGCTGTAGACAGTTGGATGATGCGGAATCCAGGAAAACCTCTAACAATTTATGAGGTAGCTGCTTGCGTTGGGGATGCACATATGAAGGCAATGACTCCGTCAAATATTTGTAGTTCCTTTAAGAATACCGGCATCTTCCCGTACGATAGAAATGTTTTTACCGACATAGACTTCTTGCCAAGTGAAGTTACTAACAGGCCCATTACTGAAAATAATGGGAATACTCCAGATGGCCAAATCTTCAATTCAGAAAATCCACTGGCAGTCGGAGCCGAACATAGTAGAAGTAGAACTCCTGACTCTGAGGCTGAAATATCTTTGGAATTTGTAACTCCGGATCAATTTCGAGGGCTGCCAAAGGCTGGGCCGAGAAAAAATACCAGAAAACCAAGACGAAAGGGTAAATCTATGATAGCCACGGACACCCCAGAAAAAATGGAAATTGAGGAGCGCGAAGCAGAAAAGCAGAGAAAGAAGAAAGCGCATCCCATAAAGAAAAAAGTGTTTCAAGAACCAGAAGATACAACAGATGAAGAAGATACGTTCAGTGTTCATTCTGAGGTAGAAGACTATTATGAAAGCGGTGATGAGGAGAATATTATGACCTCCGACTCTTTTAATCCATTAGAAAAATTACCCAGTGAAGGAGACTATGTGTTGGTTGAATTCAATGGGAAGAATGGTAAAGTCTATTACGTTGCTAAGGTATTACAAGAGGCCAAGGAACAAGAAGTAGAAGTAAGTTTTTTAAGAAGAAACTATAAAATGGAAAACACATTCCGTTTGCCAGACGTTTTAGACGTATCTCCGGTTGCACTGTCAGACGTAAAATTGATATTACCAAAACCAACTATTTGTGGGAATACTAAACGACAACAGTCATTCTATTCATTCAAATTAAATTTTACTCAAATAGATATACGCTAGTTTGTACTAGTAGTGAGTTATCAAAGGTTTTGCTATATCATGCGTTTTCTTTTCTCCAAGAAACCTGCTGATTCTCTGTACCACCATTTGGTTCATTGTTACCCATAGCCTGGTTCACTGTTCACAAGGACGGGGGCACACTGAACCAAGTGACGCTTTGAAAAATATATATTTTAACTAGTACCAAACATCTGGTTATATCATGTTTCACTTATGAGAGCAGAAGTTCGTACCTTATAGCATTCATCATCCAAATTTCAGACATATATGCATATTTTTTCCTGAGTTACACCACTCCAAATAAAAAGTGGTTCACTGTAACCCATTCTCCCCTATACAGCCAACTATAGGAATTTAAAAAGTGTATTTTGTGATGGGATTTCCACAAAATAAAGATATATCGTATAAACAATAATACATGCATTATTTAAAAAACTCACCTATCGCTTTGGTATAACTCCACTGAGGAATTCAACTCCGCAAGTTGTTCTTTTAACAACTGAAGATTCGAGTTTACGAAACTTAACTCCACAGCCACCGTTTCTCGTAATTTTTTATTCGTAGTTGCCTTAAACAAGTTTTCGGCGCCAGCGCGTAAACGCAACTCCTTGTTAATCTCTTGGTTTAACTTTGATCGTCTGTTCTGGAGTTTTCCCCTGCATGTTGCTACCCTCGGATCTGATCCCTGAAACAAAAAGGATATCATAAGTATTTTATTAATATAACCAGGAAAAAACTAAATAGAATACTATAATGCTTTTGGTCGGTGACAGGCAGATGAGAGTGTGAAAACGGCTAGCAACCAAAAGCACGGTTTTTTAGTCTGGTTCCAATACTGAAAATTGTGCCCTACCCTCCCCCCATTCCATATACATTTTTTAATTTCCAACAATGATATATTCATATATGAAAACCAGTTTACCTATGAAAGGCACCAGATGATGTTGTAATATTGTCAATGAAAGTTAAATATCTTGTTTTTTATATGAGATTACTTAAAATGTTCATAGATTTGTTGTTTCTAGAAGTAAACGAAGTTAGTGTGGGTTACAAGCATCGAGCAAAAAGACAAAAGCGGGAATGTAAAGGTAGTGGGGGCAAATATATTGTTAGACAGGAAGTGCGATCTTTAGAGGCCACATTAAACAAGGAAAGAGAGTCTCTCTCCTTGTTTGACATTAAATTTAGTTGGGTTATGTTATTGTTTGTCCCAAATGTCACATGAAATCTTATTTGTATTGAAGTTTTTTAACAATTGTGTCGCATTTTAGACTCTTATCATTAATAATTAATTAAAACTTTCTCGTCTAAGACACATTCTGAAAAATATTATATAGCCACTGTTGATAAGTGTCGGAAAATTTAAATTTGGCGCATTCGCATTTCCGGATATGTCCGCCATCAGAGGTCACTTTTTTGGTCTCCTTTTCATAAGGATTAGATTTCCTCTTTTTTCTTATTGCTCGATGGTTACCAAGGCAGCTACTGTGGCCATGACTATGCTCACAATAACCTACAGTATTTACTTGCGTCAAGACTTCTGTTAGGAAAAATCTACGAGGAACCGAATAATTTTTAAACCAGTATTCAGTAGGCACTTTAGATTGAATCTACGCATATGAGAGGAAATGTGTTTTTTCCATGCTCGTTTCCATTATTCTTTTACATTATTTTTAATGATTGTAGATATATTTGGATGAGAATATTCAGTCAACTTTCCATCTCTATTGGCTTTTTTGCTAATAAATCAACATGTTCGTTAAAAATGATACCTATAAGCGTACCATGTTAACTTACAAAAAATATACTTCCCTTTGTTCTTTATAGATTTCATCAAGAATTTTTTAATTTTAAAAACGTAACTATTTAATTTAAGATTTGGACATATTTAAGTATTAAAATATTGAAGGTCTCCAAATTCTACTTATGTAACAATAAAACACTGAAAACTTTGTTTTCAAACTTCCACAAAATTTATTTTAAATTTTATCACTACAGCTGTTTTGGCTGATAGCCTTTCTCAAGTGATCTATTTTTGGCTTGGGTTTACAAATTTATAGTCTCTAATGAAATAGGTTCGGGAGGGGAGAACTGTTTGTCTCAAGTTGGTCATTCAGAATTATATCTGTTTTTTAATTTGTTGATTTCCATAGATTCTAACAAAGATAGCTTAAGGCCTTTATTTTGAATGTGAAGAATTTTTAATTTGTCATTAAAAGAATGATTATGATCTAGAAGGTGAAGTGCGTATGTCGAATCTATTTTTCTATTCTTGAAAGCCCTTTTATGTTCTGCTATTCGTTTATCAAAGTTTCTACCAGTTTGACCGATGTAAGTTTTTGGGCAGTCGCCACATTGAAGTTTGTACACACCACTATTTAAGTGTTTTTTATTTTGGCTCTTGTTATTTTTAATATATTTGCCTAGGTTGTTATTTGTTCGGAAAGCTGGTGTTATTCCTTTCTTTTTTATGTGTTTGGCAATTTTTGTTGTTATTTTGTCTGTATATGTAATCGAGCAGAAGGTACTGGGTTTTTTCTCTGGTGGTGAATATACCAATTTCAGGGCTTTCTTGTGTAGTTTTTGATTTAACATTTTAATAATTGTTTGTTCGTTGTATCCGTTGTTTACTGCTATTTGCTTAATTATATTTAATTCTGTCTCAAGGTTGTCTTTTGACATCGGAATTTCTGTTAATCTATGTAACATACTATGATAAGCTGCCAGTTTATGTTGTGTTGACTGGGATGATGAATTGTGTATAGTGGTGTCAGTATGGGTAGGTTTATGAAGATTTGTTTATTTCAGGGCTTTCTTGTGTATGGGTACACAAGAAAGTCCTGAAATTAGTATATCCACCACCAGAGAAAAAACCCAGTACCTTCTGCTCGATTACATATACAGGCAAAATAACAACAAAAATTGCCAAACACATAAAAAAGAAAGGAATAACACCAGCTTTCCGAACAAATAACAACCTAGGGAAATATATTAAAAATAACAAGAGCCAAAATAAAAAACACTTAAATAGTGGTGTGTACAAACTTCAATGTGGCGACTGCCCAAAAACTTACATCGGTCAAACTTTTAGAAACTTTGATAAACGAATAGCAGAACATAAAAGGGCATTCAAGAATAGAAAAACAGATTCGACATACGCACTTCACCTTTTAGATCATAATCATTCTTTTAATGACAAATTTAAAATTTTTCACATTCAAAATAAAGGCCTTAAGCTATCTTTGTTAGAATCTATGGATATCAACAAATTTAAAAAAACACAGATATAATTCTGAATGACCAACTTGAGACAAACAGTTCTCCCCTCCTGAACCTATTTCATTAGAGACTATAAATTTGTAAACCCAAGCCAAAAATAGATCACTTGAGAAAGGCTATCAGCCGAAACAGCTGTAGTGATAAAATTTAAAATAAATTTTGTGGAAGTTTGAAAACAAAGTTTTCAGTGTTTTATTGTTACATAAAATGAATTTCCATCAAGTAACGGTCGAATCCATCAAATTCTACTTAATCGTATTCACGAAATAGGAGAGGAAATGGGATTAAAATTAATTCAAACCAAACCAAATTTTTAGTCTTTTGTTGTAACTCACATCCAGACGCAAAGCGTCAATTAAATGGAGTCCACGTTAACAAGGTCATAAAATTGCATATTTGGGAACTGTCATAACAGACCAACTAGATCCAGATATATAAATAAAATGCAGAATGCCAATGAACAAAACTATTTTTGTGAAAATAAAAACATTTCTTTGCAATAGACATCTCAGTTTTTAGAACTAAGACAAAGAATGGTTAAGTGCTATATTTGGATTGTACTTTTATATGGAGCAGAAGTTTGGACACTAAAATTATCCAATGTGAACAGAATTAAAGCATTTGAAATGCAGATTAATAGACGCATGCTGAACATATATTGGACAGCAAGAAAAACTAATAAGGAAGTACTAAGAAGAGTCAACAAAGATAGAGAATTGCTTTAGATTGTTAATCACCGGAAAATCTCTTATTTGGGGGGGGGGGGGAAACACATATAGTGGGGAAAAATTGATACAGAATACTACAACTCATCCTTAAAGGCAAAATAGAAGACCGTAGAGGTGTAGAAAGAAAACAAATTTCTTGGTTAAAAAATATTCTTTAATGGTTTCAGATATCAAATCTTCTTCTTTAAGTGCCGTCTCCCAATCGGAGGTTGGATATCATCATCACTATCTTTACTCTATCTACTGCTGCTCTGAAGAATTCTATAGCATTGCATTTAAACCAGTCCCTTAAATTCTTCAACCATGACAGTCTCTTTCTTCCTATACTATTTTCTCCGCTTATCTTTCCCTGTATTATCAGCCTTAGTAGTTCATATCGCTGTCCCCTCATTACGTATCCCAGATATTGTAACTTTCTTATTTTTATTGTGTTTATTATTTCACATTCTTTGCTCATTTCTCGCAATACTTCCGTGTTAGTTTTCTTCCATGTGTCCATGCTATTTTTAGCATCCTCCTGTAACACCACATTTCAAAGGACTGTAACTTATTTATGTGTTATTTATTGACTTGCTTCAATGTCCAGGTTTCAAGTCCATATTGCAGTATCGAAAACACATAGCGTCTCAGTGCTCTTACCCTCAGTTCTAATCTAAGGTCTTTGTTGCAGATAACTGTTTTCATTTTTGCAAACGCATTTCTTGCTATTTCCATCCTGACTCTTATTTCGGCTGTTTGAACATTATTGTCTGAAATCCAGGTTCCTAGGTATTTGTATTTATCAACCCTTTCTATCGGTACATTTCCCAAATGTATGGTTGTTGGTATATTTGTTTTCTTTGGAATTATCATATATTTGGTCTTTTTTGTATTCATTTTTAGTCCATATTTTTCACAGAAACTGTTTGTTTTGTTTAGCAGTAATTGGAGTTGTTCCGCAGAGCTTGCCATAATCACGATGACATCTGAATATCTTATGTTGTTAATAGAACTTCCATTAATTATTATTCCTTCACTTTAAGATAGCAATGCTTCTTCAAAAATGGCTTCACTATATACATTAAATAGTAATGGGGACATAATACATGCCTGCCTAACTCCTCTCCTGATTTAAATTTCTTGGACTTGGTTCGTTATCTATTACGATTTGTGCTCTTTGATTCCAGTAGAGGTTTGTTATTATTCGTAAGTCCCTGTGGTCAATGTTTTTTGTCTTTAGAATTTGGACTAATATAATAATAATTTGGATATCACATGCAGGACAATTATTTCATGTGGCAGAAGAACAAGAAGTCTGTGCAATGGTGATCGCAACGTCAGATAATTCTGATACGACATGTGAAAAAGAAGAAGAGGGCTTGAGAGCGTAATTGGTAATATTTTATAATAATATTAATCTGAATTAGAAATTTGATTATACGAACAGTGGATGTCTTTTTGTGGACATTTCTGATTATATCAATATATTAATCCATAGCTTGCAATTGCTGAAGCGTACTTTTAGCTCATATTTTTTTAGACATGTATTCTGTAGTCCATTTTAAAACTGTCATGCTCATATATGTTTTAAATATCTCATTACATTGTCGTACAAAAAAATGTAACTACTTTCTCTTGTCGTTGTTTACTTAACAAGATATCAATCAGTTAACATATTCTTTTAAATTAGTATGACACC